CGTCTGTGCAGTTAGTAGGACGCTGGCCTCATACAAAAGTACCCGGCCGACGCACCGCATGACACCCACACAACAGCCGGCCGCTCCGTGGGGAGGCTTTGGATACAAAGGAAAATGTGGCTCTTTTTATGGACTATATAAAAAGTTAAGTGATGCGAATATACAGCCACGTCACAACGACGGCCCCTTTTACCAAAGATTCTCTACTCTAGTAGAGAATCTTTGCTATTACTGCTGCTGTCACGACTGTTTTCGGGTGGACAACTTCAGTAGTCTTTTTTTTGTGGGTGGATAAGAGGTGCCAATGGTAGGCCCTACTATGAGGTCATAATTTTTTTTTTTCATGTTATAGTGGTAGACTGGTGCTTTGTTGCTTAATAGCCACTCTTGTGTGTGTGTGTGTGTGTGTGTGTGTGTGTGTGTGTGTGTGTGTGTGTGTGTGTGTGTGTGTGTGGGGGGGTGTTGATGCAAATACTGGCCCCCATTCAAGTTGTCTCTGTGTCACTGTGCGGGTGGTTAGAGGGTGCCTCTGGTAGGTCCGACTTCTTTACTCTCCCGCTGTTGTTTCTGTCTGCCTGTCTTACTTTTTCCCTGCAAGAGATGACCATTACTTACTGTGTCGACGTCTTTCTCTTTTCTCAGAAACAAAACTTGGCGTCGCTGTGGGTGGTTGGCGGGTGCTCTGGTGTGGTTTGCTCCTTCTTTCCTATCAAACAACTATCTTCCTTATCTCCCCTCCTTCTTTTTTGTGTTTGTTACTCTCTTGTAACACCTTTAATCTTCGGCACTTATATTATGACTTTATTGTGTTGCAAGTGCCGTAAAACACTTACTAAACTAAAAAAAAGACACAAAACTTGGCGTCACTGTGGGTGGTTGGCGGGTGCTGGGGTGTGATTTTCTCCTTCATTTCTATGAAACCCCTGATCTATTTAATTGTCCGTATCTATCCTACTCTTTTCTTTGCCTGTTAGTGTTACTCTACTGAGTAGCGCCGCTCTTCTTCGACACTTACATGACTTATATTGTTGCGAGTGCCGTAAAACACTTACTAAAACAAAAAACAACAACAAAAAAACACCAATGTCACTGTGCGCAGTGATATCTAACAGTTAACAGTTACATTTTCTTACGCATGTGACTGAGCATGTGTGTGAGTGCAATCATTGTACCGGTATCATTATTATGGTTATGTGCACAAAATAATGTGTGCAGGGGAGAGAATGCGTGAGAGTCGTGAACGTGTGTGTATGTTTGGACGTGCGCGCGCACGTGTGTGTGTGTGTGTGTGTGTATGTGTGTGTGTGTGTGTGTGTGTGTGCTCGTGCGTGCGTGCGTGCGT